GACTGATTAGTGAGACTGAATTGAGGAAGAATGTACTTAAACCATTTTTGGGAAATTTACTTATTACAGAAATATTTCTCAAAGTTGCATAAAATACATGTATTTTACTAGTATAATATAAAAACGCTATAAATATTATTCTTACAAGCTATATAATATTAAAGTTATCTTTATAATTATTTATGAAAGCTTATTTTAAAATCAATGTAAATTATAATTTCAAAGCAGTACTTCAAAATGGGAATTCTTAGAATATAAAACATAGTAATCTAACACCTAAAAACTTTATTTTAAATGTATTTAAATTCATGTTTCCTCAAGTACTTGTTCAAAATTTATAAAGTAACATGGGTATACTTCTTTAATTTCTTTTATATTTCTTTTTTGACAATTATGAGGAACAAGATTCCTGTGAGTAGAGGTAAAATTATATTAATGATTAGATGGAAAATGCCTACTTTAAAAATTGAATGTCTCAGCAAATATCCCATCTAAACGGTTTTCTGAATTTAAATGTAAATGATTTTTTTTCCAGTATCTACATTAAAATTTACATTTATTTGTTATAGAAGTAGTTTCTAAAAAACAAATGGACTTAAAATTTTTCCTCAACTGTAAGTCAACATCTCTCAATATCTGAACAGTTGGGAAACTCACATATTTTTAGCTTATACATACAACAAAATACACACATAATAAGTAAAACATTTAATGAATTAGTATAACCCCACCAACACAATATTTGCTACTGTATTAAAAGCATTTATTTTAAATATGTAAACCTCCTTCCAAAAGATAAGAGGACATACAAACTCATTTCTTATATTATGAGGTATATGGTAACAACGACAAAAAAAATCCTTAATACAAAAGGACCATCAGTGGCCTAAATACAAAATTGAACTTTGGCAGAGATAAGAGTGTTATACAGAATAACACAGCCAATAAGGAAATACATATGTTTACACCATCTCTCCACACCACAGCCCTGTCTCCATTTACTCTTCCCTTTAAAAGGGAGCTATAGTGCTGTCTCAGATGACTTAAAATTTTAAATATGTGGTCTGCTGATTAACATTTATTTTTCTCAAATCTTAGTACTACATCTATAGAAATTACACTTTTAAAGTATTTTAAACAGATATTGAATTTATTGGTTGGCTATGAGTAGGAAAATACATCAGTAAAGAAAAGAGACCCTGTATATAAATATAATACTAGCTAGTTACAATTTGACCAAGAAGGTTCCACTGAAGAGAACAGTAAAAGCCCTTGTTACCACCAGTTCATATTGTACATATTCCCGTTTCCCATTACCCTTATCAAAGAGCTGCCAAGGCAAATGCAACATTCTTTGAGCTTAGTGCAGATAATGTGCTGGGTTTTGATACATGAACGGTAAACAAGAGTTAGTCCAGTGCATTACACAACATAATGTACTGAGAGTAAAGACTAGGTATTCTATTTTAGACACTACTCCAACATACTGAGACATCTGAGCTATTAAAATTTATGTAACCAAAAAGAAGAGCAAAGGGAACATTGTAAAATACGGTTTATGTGTGGGGAGAGACACTTGCTGAAGGTGTTTTTTGAATTATTTGCAACAACTGTACTGGATATTCTAACTATTTCCTTAACAGAACAAACTGCTGTAATTGTTTTCTCTAGGTTGGCTTTTGTCCTTTTATGACATAGTCACAAAACCTTAAAAGTGACTATGGAAACGGGTTCCATTAATTTATTATTGAAAACCTAAATCACAGAAGAGCTTTGAAATTTCCATTTCCACATTTCGAAGTGCATTCCACCCAATTTAATAATGTCCTTAGGTTTCAAAGTGCTAACCCCAAATTCCTGGTTGTCATCAAATAAAAATAAAAACACTTTTCTTGGAGATGCTCCTTGCCTATCTTCTAGGACTATGAAAGTTTGCAATCACCAACTTATTTCTATAACTTTAGTGTAAATAATGCCATAAATTAATTTTGATGAACATTATTTATATTCTTAAAGCATAAATAATTACCATGAATACAGTAAACTGTACGTGTTTCAAGAGACTTACAACAAGGAATTGAATGCCTCCAAATTTCTGATGTTTAAAAGAGAAAACATACCCCAAATTCTCTGTAAAACACTCATAAAATGGGTTTATCTAACAAGAACACTGAAATTATATTATGGCAATATTACTGTATTAAATGTATTTGTTACAGAAAATTTGCACTATGAAAACACATAGTTTTTATTGCATTTTTGGGAGTATGGATTACTGAAAACTATTCAGGACACAGAAAATACTTAAAACACAAAATCTTGCTTAGCAAAACTACTTTAGACTATTTTGGTGTGACCATTTATTCCCTAGAGACCCAACCTTTCTTGAAGGTTATAGCTGAAACTCTGCACTCTTGGTTCCATTTATCACAATCTAAAATAAGGTGGAGAAGCTGTTCATACTGACCCACAGAATGCAGTATTCCTGTAATAGGCAAGAACAAATATTTTCAAGACATAACAGGACATTATATCTTACTACGCTGCCCCAAAGTTCAATTATATTGTAGACAGTAACAAATACAAGATGAAAACATTTTGTGTAAAGCTCAAACCTTTATCATCTAACAAGTGCACTCTAGTTCCAGCATCTAGAAGAGAACAACATCCTCCATTAACAATACAATGAGTAAGTGCTTCTCCCTCTCACCCTTCATAAAGCTTTCTGGACTTGTTACATAATGCAGATCATAGGAAATGCAGTTTCCTTTGTCTCATCAGTCCAAACAGCTCTAGCTCACCCTCACTGGAAATTGTCATGATGCACATTAGCAACACAGTGTTCAGGAAAAATAAGTAAACACATTTTTATTCACACTTTACAAAAAAATAAAACAAAGACCCCATAAAAAGCTATGCATTGGTTCTACATCAATAATACCAGCTTTCCAATGTACTGATTTTAAACTGGACATGTTTGGTGTCAGCACAACTTAACAAAAATCAAAACATAAAAAACATCACAACAAAATCTTTAAAAAAAAAAAAAAAAACCAACAAAAATCCTCAAAGGAAAAACCAGGTCCCAGACAAAGATTCAAGATCAAAATCTTTCTGGAGAATTCAAAAAAAGGAAAAAAAAAAAAAAGAATCTTTAAATTTTAACAGCATGTAATTTTATTTTTTCTTAAAAACAGAATAGTAGGCACATGTAAGTGCTGAACATTTTTCATAAAATTTAAGTCATTATCCAAAATGACTCATTTTCTGTATATAAAAATTGTTAATAACATTCAACTATTTTTTTCTTAATGCTCACATGGTATCTTTTGCTCCCCTGCCTGCAGTTGAAACAAAAGCAGTTAGACCAAGCTCCCTCTGAATTCAATTCATATGATTTTTGAGAGAATAAATGAACAATAACAGAACATATATGAGCTAACTTTGCAAAGTTAAAGCTGGCTTTACATCTCTAATCTACTAATGGCACTATGGGCAAAATACAGGGTACAATATAACTTTTATCTTGGTGACACATTAAAATGACTTAGTCACTTTAAAAATGATCTGAAGAATTGCCTTAGGGACCTGCTTTGAAAATGCATCTAATTTATACTGCTTCATAAATGGAAAATTACTTTTTCTTAAAAAAGGAATGATTGGGGAAAAAAAAAAAACCACACAGAGATAAGTAATACATGGAAACCAAAAAGAATTCACATGATAGTAGTATTTCTGGGTGATGAGCCACACTGTAAAGTGACACCAAGAAGCAGTGCTTGGGTCTGGTGAGCAAAGACCCAGGGACCCACCCTCTGAACATGTTCTAAAATGTGATATTCATGCTTCACAATGGAAAAAAAAAACAAACATAGTTCATACAAAAGCATTTTTCATAAAATTCTCACAAATGTTAAACAGTATTTTAAAAAATATAAAAGAGGATGCACAGATTTTCTCTGCATGCACAGGCAGTGCTTAGTGAGAACAAATTTAGGTAGGCACAGTGGAGACAGGACAAGAAGTATCTCAAAAAGAAGTGAAGAAGCTGTACCTTAGCAGCTGTAATTTTTTTATCTTAAAAAAGTTAAAGTTTTAAAAACATCAGAATGTACCTATATCAACCATTACATTCAGTCCATAAATGCCTACAGATCATTCACTATTCAGCTTATCTGTCCTGGTAGATAGTTTTCATAAAAATTCAGGAATACATGGTTAAGTTGTCTCTGGTCCCAGAAAAAGTCCTAAGGTTTAAACAGATTTAAAGTTTAAAAAGCAATGTTCTCAATTTAAAAATAAAGTAGTACAAAAGGGCTAACAAAACCCTGACAGTGCAAATCATTAGCAGAGAAAGTCTGTTGCAACTTCTTTTACAAGCTGGCTTTTATAACATATGAAACAGGTAAAAAGAATTAGCCTTAGTTTACAATACAATCATTTCCAAATTTGATTTTTTTTTAAGTACAAAATTTCACAAATCAGGTCTTCTGTGGATCATATATAATCAAAGGCTAAATTCAAATTCTGTACTTTACAAACAAGTCTGACAATCAAAGGCTAAATTCAAATTCTGTACTTTACAAACAAGTCTGAAAAAGGAGGGAGTAAAGTATGGAAGAATGATTTCTGGATGTTACTACTGGCCTCAAAAAAGTAGTGCTACAGAGTTCTGTGCAAAGAGAATATGCTGTTCCAACATTTTCCTATTTCAAGGCATGAAAATATATTGAATAGAAGAAACAGGAAAATTACTTGTAACAAATTAAAGATAGGTGCAAACACACCAATCCCTGTCAAACAGTATATAAAGCATATTGGGCTCAGAATGTATCTGTTGCTAGCACCTGGCTTTCATACTATATCCTTATCAAATAATCAGATTGAAAATTCAAATCATCATTTAAAAAAAAAATCCCTAGGGCCATACCTCACTCCCTTATATTCAGATTTTTATGAGTTGACAAATTAAATTGAGGTTGTCCTCTGAAGGTACTTGACTACCTCCTGCCAGGAAGGTGAATGCCGTTGACTTGGGGAAGGAAAGGCAGTAAAAGCTCCAGTTGTGCAAAAAGTGAGAAGTGGTCAGAGGGGATGAGTGGGTGTGGACAGCCGCTGATATTGTTCTCAAGTAGCCAATGGTGGTCCAGAGGTCCCAGAATGCCTAAAGTGTTCAGCTGAGGTTTAGAATAGAAGATGTAGTCAATTATACCCTGAAAAACAGGAAGGGGGGGGGGGAAGACAAGGCAAGTACATAAGATATCACTGAAATACTGAGAGCTTTCAAGACATTATCTGTACATTCACGTTTAAGAAACAAAACAAACTCCCTAGCTTGTAAGAAGTGGTTCTACATAAACCAAATGGCTCCAGTCTTAATGAAGAGTTTAGGCATGATGATCATTCACTCACCGTATCTGGGTCTTTAAAGAATTCCTATGAGACAGAAAGGAGCTCTGGTAGCATAGTGGCTAAAGCACTTGACTGCTCACCAGAAGGTTGGCGGTTCAAACCC